ATTTTAAAATGTTTTAAGTTAACAAATAAATAATTATTACTGAGTAATAGCACATAAAACATTTGTAAAAATCGATCTCTGAATTGATAAAAAAGAATTAAAGTTTTAGCTGATTTTTACGAGAATAATGTTCGCCATTTTGGCTTCTGCACGTGCAGCTTCAGCAATATTTCATTATTATCATTTTGACTGTGATGTATTCATCCAAAGAATTACAGGTATTATACTTAATGTATTATTGTAATTCTCACCTGAGTGATCGTGGGTGATGATTGATTTGAATAGCGTATGCTAAATTAATCGTACTCTTTAGGCCGACAACCTGACGTATTGTATATTGTAAATGCGACAATAAGGATCACTTCCTATTCTGTTGTAAACCAGCCGACCGATTGTGACCGGAACAATAGCATTGCATGACAACAGTTAGAAAGAAAGTACATGACGAACAAAGGTGAGCGTCATTCTTGAATTTGCGTTTAATTTTCTGTAACTTTATATGGCACTTCCTCTTGCAGATCTCTTATCCTATTTTTTAAAAATCCAGACCGTTGCGTCGCAAAGTACGATGCGAAGTACGAGGTGTACTTTTATATAATTTTTTTCTCTTCGTAGAAAATTAATCTTAAGAGAACTCTCACTGATTATAAGTCTGATCGTTGAGATTAATTGCTATTCCCTCTTTAAATTCAGATTTTGTTAGAATAAAAAAATATATAATAATTAAAAATATTTTCTATCGGAGCTACTTGTATACAGATTATTTCCAAAGGATTTTACTTTCGTTACCGATGAATGATTAATATTCGTTTGATTATTGGCATGGTTGACAGATACACAAGAGATTAATATCTCTTCGACGGAGATATATACGAGAGAATGACATACTTCTAAGAATGACATACTACTGAATGAATAACTTTAATGTCATTTGGACATCCGATTAATTGATTTTGACACGCCACTTTTGCTTATCAATAAAAGCGTACTTTCACTGTAACAACAGCCTCTGAAGAAGCCGCCAAGCTACTCTGCTTTCAGGTACACGTACTTTATATCGCGTACATGTAAAAAGTACTTCACTTTCACCCACGCGCATTGTCATTTTATGTCTGGCTGGCTACGATCAGTTAGAGTAAACATTACCAACGAGGTCGATGTAAACCGTCGACCGTATTAAATATCGTTTACACGTATGCGAACTCCTTGTTTATGAGTTTATTCCGCGCTGAATCGTTAGATGTGAACACGAACAAGGAAGTAGGCTACGAGATCTGCCTGCAAAATCCTGTTTAAAGAACACGATTAGAATAAAGAAATTAGTGATTACCTCAATAGTTTAAGGAGAATTTTGTTTCGTTAGAATTTTACAAAGATTGATTATGCGCTTCAACAAAATTAGTAGTTTAATTCGTATACAATATCACGTAAGCTATTAAAAATCAATATATTAATCAGGATAAGAAAGAGTTCTTAATGATGTTCTTAATGGTTTAATGATAAGAAGAAATGTGTAATTTTTTGTTATTTATTAATTAAATTAATTTTTTTTAATTTTAAAGTATTTTAAATTTTCTATTAAATAATATATATTTTTTGTATTAAAAAATTATAAAAAAATATGTAAGAAGGCCATATATGTACAAAGATTATTCACCGCGCTTGTATCATAGTTTTGAATTTTTATTGAATCACGCAAGTGTTTCCACGAATGACGGCACTCCATAGATCATCCTCGATCTCGATCTTGCGCGCGCGAAGGGGCCGGACATTGCACATTCCTCGCGGACGTATTACGAGCTGTTGCGAGCTACGATAACATCGAGCCAGGGTGAACCACGAAGGTGCGAACGCATCTTCACAAAGAAGTGAGAAGGCACCTCGTTAATCCATTTTATTTTCGCGAGGTAACGAATCACTATTTCATCCCTTTATTATACAGGGGCCTTATTTTCGCAAAACGTCGCATACGAAAATACTACAGTATACATTACGTACATTATAGATTACGTATGTTATAAATTATAGTTATGCGATATATATTCAAGAATATATGCCGATAGGATGGTACCGGCTTACTTATCACTGGTCGAGATTCTATAAGCTAATGTTCTTTCGTCCAGTCCCATTCCCTGTTATGCTCTTATTCACTGGAATAAGAAAATTTCTCGTTACGGATAGTTGTCGTTATTAGCAAAAAAAACGCCATTTCTTATGGATGGAGCACATCTCATTGAATAACTGTTTTCTAAATGTAGACAATTGCTTTTCATGCTTCAATCGTCTTTCTATCGTCTTTTCACCCTTTCCATCCTCACTGCGAGTCGAGCGTATCTTTCTCGATAGCAGAAATAGTTCCTCGCGGTCTAATATATATATATGTATATATATAGGGTGTATGTGTGTATGTATGAGTGATTGAACTTTCATTTCCATTCACATTGCCATTTATATCGCCGCGAGCGATTAATCCATTTCTCCTTTTAACGCGCGCGAGCGTTACTACGCGTCTGATTTATTTTCGCTCACGTTCGCCGGTGTTTTTCCTTTCACCTCCCTTTGACGTGGCTACTCTCGACTGCTCGGTCAATTCCGCCTCCGGGGAGCATCCTTTATCTTTCGCGTGTACCCGGTTGCCTCTTCCTCTCGGCTGGTGAACGGCTTTTAAGAGTATCGCACAGATTTCACGCGCTTCACGTGCTACCCGTCGCGGCGATCAGCGCCGACTTACCATGATCATAATTGCCTTGATAGTTTTTTTTAGAGTAAAATGATTTCGACATGTTTTCTGTACGTTGATTTAAAGAAAGTACTGTCCGAAATTATATTTGTTGAATTCCTTATCGAGAACATATAGATAGATTTATATATAGTCATGTATTTGTGGAAATTTTAGATTTTAGATAAGTGATTACAAGATTATAACAAATATTTTTACTTTGATGTAAAAAACATACATATGTATATTTGTCGATCTTTACGATGACCATTTATTTCGCAGAGATTTAACGGATATAATTAGCACTGTTGGATTTTTCGTTGCGTCTTGCTTACGAATAATTTTTTTATTAAAGTTTCGCCACGGGAATAAAGTATTGCTCCTTTCGATCGCAACGCAAATGCGTTCATTCAAACATTCTGACTTTCGCTTAACAAAAACGAGACGCTGATGTTTACTCTTTCAATTGTGAAATTTCTAGTAGAAAGTAATGCGGCTAGTTATTATAATAATTGGGAGCTGCGTTCATAATGCATTGTTAATCATTGTGTTCCGAAGAGAGACGAATTTTAGTGAAGAAATTGCTATGTAGACTACGAATAACATTTTTAACTCACGTATAGAGGCACTATTGAAAGTAAAGACTGTTTTCGCACGGCTTTGCGGGAGTATTCACAAGCATTCTGTTGATAATTTTATGCGATACCAGAAATGATTTTTTATATGCATAAAATGTCTGTTGGTAAATTAATGTATTCTCTCTGCTTTTAGATTTTGGAAAATATTTCAACATTTTCTTTTTTTAAATCATCAAGGATGAAAAATATAAATCGAACATAAATAAAAAAAAAAGATTGATAATTAAAAATTCGACAAATTTGTGATAAAGATAAGGAAGTGTACAACCGCGTGCAATTCCTCTCGTAGAGTACCTATTGTTGCACAAGTAATTCGTCGAATTTGTAATAGAAGCCGAATACCGGGAACGATCTGCGAGTTGTTTTGCACTCTCGATCTCATGAACGAGCTCACCAGAAATCCGCGTTTGCTTCGAGACAGCGTGCCTGCATCACTTTAAATAATAAAGCGGCGCCGGACGTAATTGCAAGCCAATAACGTAATGAATAATACGGTGCGGCAAAGACGCGGATTACCACGTGTAAAGCGAACGATAGAAGGTGCACGAATAATTAGTCTGCGATTGCGAGCGAATGAAGTTCCTTGCTACCGTTACGAATCCCGCGAAATGGATGTGGCATAGTATTGAAGCGATAGAGATCTCGCTCTCTTAACGTCCGTGCACACACACACACACACACACACACACAAGAGAACGCATTTGAAAGGATAGACAACACTAACAAAAACAATTTCCTTGACAAATTCGTTGTTAACTCTTTTAAAATAAAAATTTCAGTACAAAACAAAAGCATTTTTCTTTCGTAGTTTAAATTTGCTTGTCTACATATGTAGATGTAAACTGAGAAGAAACATTTTTATTTCGAAAAATATAATATACGATTAATGCAATAATCGGAAGCTAAAAAGAATTTTAGCCAATAAATTTTTTATGTGACTCATATGCAATTCTTAAAAAATGTGAAACTATGAGAAATGTCTAGGTACTAACGATGAACAGACGTGCGTTCTGTGAGCGAGATGTGCACAAGCATCTTTAACTCTCCTATGCGCGTTCACTCTCTCACACCTTGACCTTCCTCAACCGGGAAGTCAACAGCACCCTCCGGGAATATGTACGAGCACGTAAAAGCGCATGTATAAACGTGTCTATTATGGCGCACCGGCCGACATGAGTGTAATTCCAATGTAGTCCAATTTCAGGCGACGAGAAACTAGCGCCCATTATCGCACGTTTGTGTAATTAAATGGATAATTAGTTCCTTCCAATTAACATTTCTAACGGTTTTGAATCTTGTCATCACATTAAAAAAAAAGATGAAATAAACTTCTTGCAATGTTGCTTTTCAAGATTATTTATTTATTTGTATGTAATTTGTTTATTATTTATCGCTTGAGTGGGATAATTAATTACGAGATTTTTTTAGAATATGCGCTGGGATATGCTCTACATAATTCAATTTTTAATTAAATTTCTTTAATAATGTTTATATACTTGTTTTTATATTTATTTTATTTTTAGATCTCGCATGCGTATCATTCAATTTCTTATACCTAGAGAGATAGAAAAAGAGATTTTTTGCATTCAATATGTCGTACATTTGTCTCGATTTTATTATACATCTTTTATTGCATTCGTTACCTGATGAGAGCTGATTCGCCGAGAGCACATCATCCTCACCCGGTTGAAGACGTATTTCCATTTTTTTCAGACGCGAATGTAGATCTCTCGTGTGTAGAAAGAGAAAAAGTGTACTAGATATCGCTACTAAAGCGATCAGCTCGATCGTTCTGTAAGCAAAAAAAATTATAGATTAATATCATTTTATTATAATTATTAAATTACAAATATATGATATTAATTGTGTTATATTATCCGTTTGTTTCATTATTGGTAATTTTTCTGAGGTTGCAAGATGCCGCTCCTATTATTTATGCGACAAATCTGCTCGATTTGTAAACAATGAAGAATTAAATTTGTGACAGTCATGGAGGAGGGAAATTGCGACGCCGAGAAGCCCTTTCGCAAGTTAAATATTACGAGCCGATCGTCATCTAGGTTGGCAGTGAGGGAATCAGGGCACGGCGAAGCCGTCCATCTGGTAATTGGTCGTCGCGTCTGGGAGATGATGTTTCTTCGTATGACCTGGTTCTCGGAGAATACTCGTCGACCGTGAAGCTTGACGGTCGCTTGAATTTCGCGGGGGTTTTCGACGCAACAGGTGTATCGTTTGCATATATCGCGCACATTCGCATAATAAATATGAATTAAATTGAAAAACTCGAAGCAATGATGTGCTAAACTGAGTGAGGAGAATTCTCGTTTTAGACAACTTCTGAAAACTGACGATGATCCGTTCAAAAAAAGAAAAACTATATCTTTAAGGAAAACAATTATCTTCAAGAAATGTGAAATCTCTTGTGAGAGATCTTTTGGATAGAATCTTGTGCGGCATAAAAATGTTACTAATTAATTGCAAAACGTAAAAAGCCGTGAAGGAAAGTACTGTAACACGTTATTAGCTTACGGCCTCAGTGTATTATTGCCCTCGAGCCCTTCCATTTAACGAGCTGTGTAATACACGCGGGCAATAGCAACGGCATCGCGAATCGCTCCGTGATAGCAGTCGTTATTCGTACGGTATATCATAAATAATGCAATAAACGTTGCATTAACGCGATACAGGCGGCGCACGCGAGACCATTGTAATCGATTCCTTCCACGATTACGAGGTTTCAAGATTGCGCGATGCAATGCATAGTAAATCGCGAGGCGCCTTTATTATCGGGCTCACCGCTAATCCACGACCCGGCAAAAGAGGCACGGGCGGAATGAAATAATTGATTTTCCTCGCGTTGTTCGTCAGTGATTAACCTGGAAGAATCACGTCGGGAGTCACGATTAAAGAGCCATCCCGGAATGAAAGCTGTGCTAATTGTCTCGACATTTCTTTCCATTAATATCCATGAACGTGTCGCTATGTAATCTCTGATCCGAGTGTAGTATCCGATCTCACGCGACCGTGTTAAGAACTCCATGTAATCGTCCTACATACAACTTTGATGTCTATCCTGCAATTTGATACAGCTGCATCAGTTGTATGTATACGATCTAATCCTCATTTTGGATTACACTTAAGTTATTGCATGGAAAATAACTGAATGTTATTATAATAAAGATCTCTATTATTTATAATAATATTACATAAGATATTGTATCAATTTTTTTATTATTTATGAGTAATCAGTAAATTAAAATATGAAAATGATTAAATTATTAAATAATACTAAAGTAAAATTATTGAGGTTATAACTAGGAGAGAGAAAGAACTGAATCTCTTCATTATCATTACTTTCATATCAATTTTGTATACTTTGTGTGAAACAATTATGGATAGAGTTGTACATTGATTCTTCGAAATTACATTTGAGATTGCATTAATACTTTTAATGTTGACGTTCTATTCTTATATTTCCCATTGTGATTCAATTCCATGAATAATCGCAGCTTGAAAGGTGATTGCACTGTCATTGAACGGTCGCTTACTTTTGTCATTAGTGTGTGGGAATCGAATAATTTTCCAGAAAATATTTGTAATTTCTAGCTAAAAAAAGATATTGGAATAACTGAATCCTAGTTTCTGGATGATTAGCACCGTGTATAAAAATTTCTGAGACAAGAAATAAATAGTGTAATTTATATTTAATTACATAATTATGCATCTTGACGATTTCGTATTATTCACGCCACATTTGTCAGTGTCTTCTTCAATTTCTCAGATAGAGATTTTATGCGTGATTTAACCACGCTGTCATTATGTCTTACTTTGCTTCTGTCCTTGCGCGATCCTTTCATGTCCTGCAAGCACTTCATTAAAATTGTAAGTCGTATACGATTTGCAATGAAGGTTTACTAGAGAAGGTTGCTGATATCTGATTTAAAGGCTTAACTGAAACCTGTAAGTATCCCTTGAATAATAAATGAGCGTGGTTTCTTTCGAATGATATACACACAATATATGTATATCAGCCATATACTTGTGGTTAAATCAGGTTTATAAATTTGCAAAATTTGATGAAATTTATTTAGTTTTTCTGTGTTTATATTTACATACCATTCAATATGTACAATTTAAGGAATTAGAATATCAGTTTTCGAACGTTTAATGACCTTTTAATTAAGCACAAGAAGAAGTTATGTCTTTACGGTCTACTAACGTCTCATTAGGAATTTCCTTGACATTAACCGTGCGAAATGCTGAGTATTTCGTAGGGAAATCGTTTCGTGGGAATATCCCCGAAATTTTTCCGAAACAAATGCAACATAGAGATTTTTACTGCATTAAAATACAATAGCAGTTAGTGTACGTTCTCGCGATTTAACAATTAAGGTCAGATCATAATTTGAAAAACGAGATATTTTTACACAAGAAAAGACGAAATAAGTTAAAATATAGATTTTATTAATTTTGTAAAAAAATTAATTGCTACATACGTATCGCATCGTTATATTTTTTAAGTTGAACATTTGAATTAAATGTGCAACATACATAGTGTTATAAAATTTAACAAAAAAAAACAAGCAAATAAACAAAAAGCAGTACTATATATATGTATTTCTCATTATTCATATATCTCATTTTTAAATCATTCATATAGAATTTTAAATTGAAACATTCCGAGTCAAACTTTTGAGTTTCTGCACTTAATAAAATTCTTCTTTATAAAGTGCTTTTCTTAAAAAACGAAATGAGAAATTATTCATATACATCATGTATTAAATTTTTTCACGTGTGAGTTACAGGAATATCTATAATTTCTAAAATTATCTATAATTTGATTCCAGTAATTTGTATGTATGCGCAAATCACTATCTTTCGCCGTAATTCGTCGCGCCGATGCCGCTAGTTTCCTCGAGGATATACAAGGACGTTCTCCGGTATTCCATCGCGGCTCTTCCGGGCTTATCAGCGAAACGTAAGCAGATCTACTCGAGGGAAAAGCGAGAAACGAACGGTATCGTTCTGGCGGACGCAGTGTCAACGACACACGGAGAGAAGGGAACCGTAAGCTCTTAGGAACGCGTTTATATATACCGTAACGGGGTACATACAGGGGCACCGTGTACATACGCCTCGTGTACATAATGGCGAACGTGTATCTGGAAATCCGATTGTCCCGCGCGGTGAGAACGTCGCGTGTAGGTATTCGGTTCGCGAAATGTGCCATCGAGTACCAATGGCAAAAATGTGCGAGAGTTAGGAATTCCTATTCCAATGCGCGAATACGTGCCGTTAATTAAAGAGGTCTACGGGTCAGACAGTCTGATATTATTGTGGCCTAATTTATAAAATTGTAGATTACAAGATTTATCAAAGTGATAAATGAGGTAATAAACTGCCACGATAATCTTCTAATCTCAGGCAAATGTGCTTCCGTAAGAAAGAAAGGAGAAAACAATTTTCCCTTAATGTTAGATATATTATATTTATATTGGAATTTTATTATACTGTATAGCATATAAATACATCGTATTCATTATAGATTACTATAAATATAATTGCGGGAACCGATTGTTATTTGTTTACAATTATTATTCTAGCATGAGAAACAGGAAAGAGAAAATAAAACGTGTCTGAAGAACTCAGCGCATTCAGATGTGTGCAAATTTCTTTCGATCGTACTGTTGATTTCATTAAATTTTTCAAATACGTGTTTTTCTCAGATTCTACATTCCGATACGGCATAGAAAATGTTGACGATTATGGGAGAGAGATGATCCTGCGTTTTGTTTTAATCTTTCGTAATGGATCGTGGTAACATTGGCAGAACGCAACAAAGCCGCGAGGCAGCGCGCGGAGATTCGTGCTGAAATTGCAATGCAACTTTTGATCGCGGTCGATGCACCGCCGACAATGCTGCTCGTTGCAATACAACGACCACAATTGACTTTAACGAGCGCGCGTATATGATAAATTATTGCGGCCGCTACAGCCGAAGCCGTATTCCAATAAAGCTCTGCGAAATGCACTTCATAGGTTCTCGGTACCTACCTACGTTTATTCAATCTGTAACAGATTATTTTGCACACACGGAACAGAACGATTTTGTTGAAAGACCTAAAAATTTTACTAAAAAGAGATCTGAAATTAATTTTTTATTGAATCATCAAAATAAATTGTTGGAATGTTAAAACTGATAAGTATTGCTAGAAAACGTTTTGATATTCTAGCAATCATTTTGAACTTT